TTATTATTATTATTATTATTATTATTATTATTATTATTATTATTATTATTATTATTGCTGTTTGTTGTTGTTGTTGTTATTATTATTCTTGTTTGTTGTTATTGTTCGTTGTTTTTTGTTATTGTTATTATTGTTATTATTATTATTATTGCTATGGAAATATCGTATCAGAAATAATAACAAACATTATAATGTGAAGGTGAGCAAATTATGAATTAATTTCCAAAAAAAATGCAAATAAAATTAGAAATAAAAAAAAATGGAAAAAGAAGAAATTTTTCATTCATTTTATCAACAACACTGTTATTTTAATCATTTTTTTTCACTTTTTCCTTGATTTTATTTTATTTTTTTCTCTTTCTCTTTCTCTCTCTCTCTCTCTCCACTCCTTCTTTTTCCACCTGTTGTTTATTAAAAAGAAGAAAAAAAATTCAACAGTATGAAATTTTCAAGAGAGAAAGAGGAAAAAAGACAATATAATAAAACCAGAGCATATGTTTGGAAATTTAAAAATGATCGAAAATATTACGATAGCGATGAATGGACAGCTGTTGTTGTTGTTTATTGTTGTTGTTGTTATTGCAGCTGTTGTTGTTGTTGTGTTGTTGTTATTATTGTAACTGTTGTTGTTGTTATTGTTGTTGTTGTTGTTGTTGTTATTGTTATTGTTGTTGCTGCTGCTGCTGCTGTTATTGTTGTCATCGTTGTTGCTGCTATTATTGTTGTTGATATCGCCAAATTCACATTAAGAATAGAAATGACAATGAAATGAATGAATGAATAGAAATGAAATGAATGAATGAATAGAAATGAAATGAAATGAATGAATTGAAATGAAATGAATGGAAATGAAATGAGTGGAATAACAGAGGATGAAAAAAAAAGTGATAAATAATATCGCACAAATGTTTTTTTTTCTTTTTTATTATAAATTTTCCTTTTTTATTACAATTTAATAATGACGAAATAAGCAACCATTGTTAACACATAATATTTGATTATTTACTTCCACTTCTAAGAGAGAGAGAGAGAGAGAGAGAGAGAAAGGGAGGGAGAGAGAGAGAAGAGAAGAGAAGAGTGTCGTATTTTGAAAATTATGATTATATTTAATTCTGGTATGATTTGATTGAAATTGAATGAAATAAATGACGAGAGAAGGAGGAAAATGATTATTATCATTTCTATACTATTTTTGATATTATTTTCTGTTAGTAAAAGACTTTATATTTACCATTTATAATAAATATATGTTAAATTTTTCGATGTAAATGCTTATATCATAAATATATGTATCATTGGGAAGTAGCGGGAAGAACGGCAATCGGGAATTTTTCTTATATATATATATATATCATTGGGAAATACCGGGAAGAACGACAATCGGGAATTTTTCTTATATATCATTGGGAAGAAGAAAGGCAATTGAGAATTTTTCCTTGCTTTTTTTTTTTCTTTCTATTCTGGTAGAAAAAAAAAAATGTCACATTTAAATTGTTTGCAATTAAATGTATTAATTACTTATTGTTTATTCCATTGTTTGTTTACTTTTTTTTTATTGCTTATTAGTTTTTTTTTTTGCTTATTATTTATTGTTTATTGCTTATTTATTTACTTTATAATTGTTTATTTTATTTATTTGTTTATTTACTTCATAAATGTTTATAATTGTTTATCTGTTTTTTTTTAAATTTATTTATTTTCATATTGTTTATTTGTTTATTTATTATATGCAGTATTGTTTGTCGCGTGATAATTTTTGTTATTGTTTTTGTTTGTTTGTTTGTTTCTTTGTTTATTGCATAATGTTAATGTTTGTTTTATTTACATGTTCACTTGTTTACTTGTTTACTTGTTTATTTGTTATACTATTCTTATCATTTTGAATTATTACTTATCACTTAATTATTTATTCATTTATTTCATTAGATATTACATTTATTATTTATTTTGAGTTATTAATTTATTATTTACTATATTATATAATTTGCATAATTTTTTATTTTTTTACGAATAAAATAATTTGTGTTAAAAAGAAAATTAAAATTTGCAATGGAATTTTTTAACCAATTAACAAATAATTAATTTAGACGAACGTAATTAACTTAATTTGTTGAATAAATCCATTAATTTATTTATCACATTGGATAACATTCGTATCATTTATTTCTTTCTTTTTCCACTTTTTTTTTTTTATTTGTATTCTGCACAATTTGCTTCCTATCATCATTATCAATTTCCGGATCCGTTTTCTTCCTGAATTTTCCACTGCACTTTATACCATTGTGATTAATTCCTTTTTCTTTTTTTTTAAATTTTTGTTTTTCTTCTAGTTCAAAGCAAACCTTTATTTTTTCCCCTCTTTCTTTCTTTCTTTCTTTCTCTCTCCCTCTCTTTCTCTCCATAGATCCGCATATTGCATTCTCCGAGAGAAGGCGGGGGATATTGGAAGAGGAAGAAGAGAGAAAGCGAAGAAATCCTTTATCATAATCATTCTTTTTAAAAAACAAAAATTTCAATATTTATTTATTGGACAACAGAATCGATCGATTAAATCTTTAAATTAGAAAAAATTATTAAAAAAAAACGAATTAAAAAAAAATTTTCTTTGTTTTTAAATGTAAGAAATTTAAAAAAAAAAAAAAAACGGAAAACAAAAGATTGTAATCTTAAAAATTTTCGTAAATTTTGAT